TGGTCTGGAACTCACCATCCTCCTGATTCAGTCTCGTAGGTAGTAAAATTATAGGCGTACACCACAATGCCAGGCCTTCAAATGACAGAAATCCCATCCTCTGTATTATTTCCTCCCTAGTTCCCCAAGAGCTGAGTAGCCCCCCCCCGCATTCGCACCAGCAGAAGGGGCAGCTGTGAGAGCCGAAGAACCGCAGAATATTTAAGGGAGGGACTGGGGGAAAGGGGGGGGGGGGGGGGGGGGGGGGGGGGCAGAGAGCCCCCTCTCCCAGGCAGCTGTGCCTCCGTGCGGCCTGGGGTTTGCAACAGCTCAGGGGGGTTGTAAATTTACTTTTCTTAGGATCTGTGCAACGGCGTCTGCTTCCAGCTCCGCTATGGCTCTCAGCACTGTGTTCCTTCCCAGTCTGGTTCAATGGCCGCCTGTTCTAAAAGTAAGCAGAGGTCTTAAAAGACCAAGATCCCAGGGAGCCAGGGTGGTTGGGCCTGGTTCACTCTCTCTAGGCTTCCCACTAGTTGAGGAGCCTGGCATGGAGAGACCACAGAACACAGCTGAAAACTGAGTGATAAGCACTGAAAGGCACGGTGGTGGGTGTTTGGTTGGCACAAAGGTGAATAAAATCCTTTGTATATTATTCTTTGTTTCCTTCTCTGTGTACCCGGGCAAGAGCACACCATAAAGACAGAGGGGTCCACTCCCAACAGAGATTTTTTAAAAAAATATTTTATTTATTATTCTTATTTTATGTGTATGAGTATATTGCCTGTATATAAGTAGGTGCGCCCTTGTAGGTCAGAAGAGGGTGTCGGATTGCCCTGGAACTCGAGTTGCAGACAACTGTTATCTGCCATGTGGGTGCTGGAAATCAGACCCAGGTCCTCTGCAAGAGCAGCCAGTGCTCTTAACCTCTGAGCCATCTCTCCAGTCCCCCAACAGATATTTTTTTATGAATGGATAACTCCTGGAGTTGTTCAGGGCTCAACTTTGACAGATTTACATGGCCCTGCTCTGGCAAGACCTAACACATGTACATAAATGATGGCAGTACAGAGGAAAGTGAACGCTTGAGAACTGGAGAGATGACTTAGTGGTGAAGAGCTCTGGCTGCTCTTGCAGAGGACCCAGGTTCAGTTCTCAGCACCCATGTTAGGTGGCTAACAACTGCCTGTAACTCCTGTTCAGAGACTCCAACAACCTTATTTGGCCTCTGTGAACACTTGCACACATGTGCACATACCGCCCCCCCATAAATAAAAATAAAAATTTAAAAAGGAAGGACCTTGGAGAGATGGCTTAGTTAAAAGCAATTGCTGTTTTCTAGAGGATCCAGGTTCAGTTCCCAGCACACATGTTGGGTAGCTCACAACCACCTATATCTCCAGTTCCAAGGGGATCTGTCACCCTCTTCTGGCCTCTGAGGGCACTCACTCCATAAACACAAATAAAGTTGAGTGTGGTGGTTCGCACCTTTAGTCCAGCACTCAGGAGGCAGAGGCAAGCAGATCTCTGTGAGTTTCAGGTCAGACAGGGCTATACAGTGAGACTCTGTCTCAACAAAAACAAAAATAAAAAAATTAATTTTTAAAAATATTTTATTTTTTATTTTATGTGTATGAGTGTATTGCCTGCATGTATATAAGTGCACCCATTTTGTGCAATGCCCTCAGAGGACAGAAGAGGGCGTCAGATCCTCTGGAACTGGAGTTACAGAGGGTTGTTAGCTGCCATGTGGGTGCTGGGATTTGAACCCTAATTCTCTGCAAGAACAACCAGTGTTCTTAACTGCTGAGCCATCTCTCCAATTCCAATAATTATTATTATCATTTTGTTTTTTCTTTTTTTCTGTTGAGACAGAGTCTCCCTGTAGCTGGTGTAGAACTCACTATGTAGATTAGATTGGCCTTGATCTCACAGAGATCCAGCTGCCTCTGCCTCCTGAGTGCTGGGATTAAAGGCATGTGCTACCATGCCCAGCAATAGTTAATTTTTTTAAAGGAAGAAACTGGAAGAAAGACTGTGGTTCTCTGCAGATGTTAGAGGACAGGCATATCACCATGCCAGAGGGATACAGGCAGGTGGAGGGCAAACTGGAAAGCAGGATGGTAGATCTTGGAGGGGGGCTAGCCAGATGTCTGTTTTTATTTTTCTCTTTCTTTTTGAAACAAGGACTTATGAAGTTCAGACTGACCTCCACACAATATGTAGCCAAGGATGACACTGAATACTTTTTGTTTTATTTATTTATTTATTTATTTATTTATTATTTATTTATTTATTTATATATATTGTGTATGAGTGTTTTGTATGCATGTAAGTGTACCACATGCATGAAATACTCACAGAGGCCAGAAGAGGGCATTGGATCCCCCCTGCTACTGGAGTTGCAGATGGTTGTTGCCTTGTGGATGCTGGAAACTGAACCCAGGTCCTCTGCAAGAGCAGTCAGTGCTCTTAATTGCTGAGCCATCTCTCCAGCTTAGACATTGAACTCTGTTTTTTGTTTGTTTGTTTGTTTGTTTGTTTGAGAACTCACTATGTAGACCAGGCTGGCCTTGATCTCACAGAGATCTGCCTGCCTCTTCATCCTGAGTGCTGGGATTAAAGGTATGTGCCACCACACTCCAGTTGTCTTGTTTTTGTTTTGAGATACGCTCTCACTATGTAGCCCTGGCTGGCCTCAAACTTAGTGCCTCTGCCTCTGCCTCTGGAGTGCTGGGATTATAGGCGCGTGCCATCATTCTCCACTAACAGGCTCCTGTTTCTTTCCTCTCCCTCGGGGTCCCTGCCATCAAACACAAATGAAGGGAACCTGTTTGGCAATGTACTGAGCTACAGTTGGGTCCTCAAACCCTCTCAACATTAGGGGTGTTATTGTGGTGTCAGAATTTGGTATACCATGGACTGACATGTTTTCTCTCTCACTGTCCCCAGAAACTTCAATGCTCTCTGAAGGTGATAGGCCACCAGTTCTTCTGACACTAGCATATAGAGGCTAGTGGCCTGGCCTCTCTCCTGGGGTTCTCTGACAAGTCACTGAAATACAAGGAACAGGTTCACAGCTCCAAAGGCTCCTCCTTCTAAGACTCAGGCCCTGTCTCCCCGCCCCCATCTGCCCCTGGACCCCCCTCCACAGCTAGGTCAGTGTAGTGACGCAGGAGTCAGGGCCCCTGGACAGCACAGCCTGTTGGGAGGGGGTTGGTGGTCGGGACAGAGCTGACATGCGGACGTGCGTGGACGTGTGGACGTCTGCATGTCTCACAGCTGGGCCATGGTCAGGATGATGAGCTGGGCTGAGTGCTGAGCCTGGATGGCAGGTTCAGGGAGAGGCCCCCAGCAGGCCCACAGTTAGGGAGCAACAGGCCTGTTACCTTCAGACAGCTTTCCAGCCTTGCCTCTGGCCTCTCTTCATCTTTCCACACCTTCTTTCCATCTAAACCCTATGGCTCCCTTCTTTCTTCACCTCCCTTAGCTCACATTGTCAGCCCTGACAGTTCTGTTGACAACTGCAAACTCCAGGTCCTTCTGGCCCTTTTTTCCCTTTAGTTTCTTTATGTGTATGTGTTTATGTGCTGTGCACCACTCAACATGTGGACTTTTACTGAATGAATGAATGAATGAGTCTCTCTCTCTCTGTCTCTCTCTCTCTCTGTCTCTCTCTCTCTCACACTCAGAAATTCAAGTTCTTTGGGGTGGCATTCAAGTCCCTTCCACAATTTGACTCCTCCCCAAGAGCTCTTGGGCTTGCTCTCCCACTTCAATCCTCCCTCCAGTACACCTGACTCTCTTCCCCCATGCCTCACAGAATTTCCCATTGAAACTCCTCAGTCCTCAAGATGGAGCTCATAGTGACCTCTGCTTTCCAAACTGTCTTAACTTCCCTTGTTGGGCATGAGCAAGCTTGTCCTTTTCTGAGCTTTTGCACCTCAGACCTGCACACTTGAGTCCTGATACACTGCCGGGCATGCACCCACTTTATCTTGCTGAATACACACTCCGGGACGGCAGGAGCTAGATGTTCACATCTCTTTTTGTCTTGCCAAGTGCTTAAGTTCTTGTCTTGCATGAAGTTGCACTGAGGTTACTTGCCGGTGGGGGCAATTTGACTCAGTGGTACAGCATTTGCAAAGACTCCTCTAGTGAGGGGCTGGGGGCATGGCTCAGCAGTGGACCACCTGCCTAGAATCCCCCAGTGAGAGGCTGAGGGCATGGTTCAGTGGTAGAGCACCTGCCTAGAATCCCCTAGTGAGGAGCTGGGGGTGTGGCTCAGAAATAGTTTGCCTACTTAGAATCTGAGGGGCTGTGGGGCTCAGTTATAGTGTGCTTTCCTTGCATGCACAAGGCCCTGGGTTCCACCCTCAACACTGATGAAACAAAAGCAAAAACAACCTAATACCAAAGTGCATACATGTCCTCAATGATGTGGCATGGGCTTTCCCTTCTGAAAGTTACTTTCTGGGCACTAGAAAATGAAGAGTGGAGGGGAAGAACCCCAAACTCCTCTCTCCATTCCCCTGCATCTAATTTCTCAATATGAACAATACTGACGTCTAGACATCCGAAATGATACAAATTGGAGGGAGGTCGTGAAGCTTCCTCCTGTTCCAGCCCCCCCCCCCCCCCCCCCCCCCCCGCTGCAGCCTTTTAGCTGTCAGCTCTGCGTCCCTGCCCAAGACAATGTTGTCCCCCAAGGGAGGTATCCTGGGGCCTAGCCTTTGTCATAGATCAGCTATCGGCTATCGGTACCTCAGCCCAGGCTTTCTGCATATCTCTCAGATAGATAGATGTGCACCGGGCTGAGCTCCCTGCCTAGAACTTGGGATTTCTCCGAATCCACCCCCAGGGAAGACCCCTGCCACCGTGCGCGCCTGAAGGAGCTCTGCTCCACCCCGGGGAGCCCCCGACCCAGGCGTCCTGCCCTCTGCTCTGACCCCGGGTGGCCCCCAGCCCTGGCGACCCCTCACGCACACACAGCCTCACCCCCACCCCCACCCGCGCACGCACACATGCAGATAACATCCCCGACCCCCGGCTGGAGCCAGTGTCCCCAGACCAACCCTGGCCAGTCGCTGTGTCCCGCCGTCCTCCCAAACGGACCCTTGGCCAGGGCCGCCGTGTCCCGGCTCTGCCCGCACCCCCTGGTCAGTGACCACCTTCTTCCACACTTGTGGGGGTACCTGGCCCCACCGATCTTCCAAGGATGAGGACTCGCGGCATGGACACCGGCCCAGCTCAGGGTCGCTGAGGGGCCCCGCCAGCCAGGCCTGGAGATGGGGGTGCCTGGTGAGTACTCACAGGCTGGGGGAACCTGTGACCTCCGGAGCTCTTGTTTGAGCAAGGATTTACCTCTCAAGCTATTGGCCCCGGGAGGTGGCTGGGTTCTAGGACCTGCGACTCGCCCAGGATCAGGGAAGAGAGAGGGGGTGGGGCAGCCTCCACGTGCACGCAGGGTTTGGGGAGCCCCCGGTGAATGGCAAAAAAGTGGATCTAGAGCAGGGGACAGGTTTAGGGGTTCAAGAAGATGGGGCGCTGGTCTGTGAGTGGAGAGGGAGCTGTTAAAGGAATTACCTGAGTCCAGGAGTCCCAGGCTCCCTGGATCTGAGAGGAGGGAAATTTCTGGTGCACCAGGAGGGAAGTTTGGCCCGAGAAGTGGATGCCGGTCGCTTGGGGGTGGGGTGTGCAGCGCCGAAGGATTGAATGAAGGCCACTCAGACACAGCCTGAGCCATCGCAAGGCTGGGGCCAGCAGGGACTAGCTGGGGGCAGAGGAACCTGCCCCTCCAACCCAACCGCCCCTTCCCCTCCCTGCCTCATGCTCAGCCTGCCTTTCTTTTAGACTGTCTCGCGCTGCCGCTCTTGGTGACCTTTCTACTGCTTTCTCTGGGCCTCCCAGTCCTCGGTGCCCCCCCACGGCTCATCTGTGACAGCCGAGTTTTGGAGAGGTACATCCTGGAGGCCAAAGAGGCAGAGAATATCACGGTGAGCACCCCCCTTCCCCAAAACTGGGGTGCTTTCTGATACTGATTGGGGTCAAGATGGGAAGCTGGGCTCCCTTTAATTCTCCTCACTGAATGGGCAGAGGATGGGCAGAGGATGTTGCTCAGTTGCTGGAGCACTTCCCCAGCATGCACAAAGTTCTAGGTTCCATCCCCAGCAGGGCCTAAACCTGGCTTGGTGGTGCACACACCTGTAATCCCAGCACTTGAAGGTGGAAACAGGAAAGTCAAAAATTTAAGACCATCCTCAGCTACATAGCAGGTCTGAGGCCAGCCTGGGCTACATGAGACCCTGTCTAAAGTAACAATAATAGGGAATGATAAAGCTGGTGGTCCCCAAGTGTGCCTAATAAGGTTCAAAGACAGAGTGTCCTGTGGCTCTTTGGGGACCAAAGCTCTTGGAGGCCTTGACCTAGGGCTGTGTATTTCAGATGGGCTGTGCAGAAGGTCCCAGATTCAATGAGAATTTCACAGTCCCAGACACCAAAGTCAACTTCTATGCCTGGAAGACGATGGGGGTAAGTTCATTCATTCATTTTTTACCCTCTTCCTTAGAGGTGAACAGGCCTCATTTTGACAGCTTGATGGTGTAGAAGGGAGAGTGCTGCTGCTAGAGATGAAGGCCGAATGGGGGTATGATAGCCCATTCTTCATTTATTCATTCAACAGATCTCTTTCATACCTTCCGCTCTTTCTGCTTAGTACCTGGGGTGGCTGAGAAGGAATGACTTGGGCTGGCTAATTCTTTGCATCCTCTAGGTAGAAGAACAGGCTGTAGAGGTCTGGCAAGGCCTGTCTCTGCTCTTTGAAGCCATCCTGCGGGCCCAGGCTGTGCTAGCCAATTCCTCCCAGCCATCAGAGATGTTACAACTACATGTAGACAAAGCCATCAGTGGCCTTCGAAGCCTCACCTCCTTGCTACGGGCGCTGGGAGCACAGGTGAGTAGGAAGTGGGTGTGAGCACTTGTAACTGCTTTCTGTAGGGTGGGGTTAGAACCCTGCTGATGAATACTGAGGACTGGGCCAGCAAGATGGCTTAGTGGGTAAAGGCACTTGCTGCCAAGCCTGATGTCCTGAGTTTGATACCCAAGACCCACATGGTAGATTGAGAGAAATGACTCTTGCAAGCTGTCTTCAGATCTCTTCCTATGTGCTATGGCACAGACACACACATAAATAAATGTAATACTAATAAGAATACTGCTGATGGTTCAGTGGACAAAGTACTTGCTGTTAAGCATGAGGGCCTAAGTTCAACCCCCCAGTACCCATGTGGGTGCATGCCTTTAGTCTCGGCACTTGGGAGGCAGAGACAGGCAGATCTCTGTGAGTTCAAGGCCAGCCTGGTCCACACAGTGAGTTCAAGGCCAGCCTGGTCTACATAGTGAGTTCCAAGTCAGCCAGGACTATACAGTAAGACCCTGTCTCAAAAACTTTTTTGATGTGCAGCAGCATATTCCTGTAAATCAAGAGTTGGGAGGCAGAGACAGGAGGATACCTGGGGCTCACTCAGGATCCCAATCAGTGAACTCCAGGTCAATGAGAGGCCCTGTCTCAAAAAACAAGTTGGAGGACTGGAGAATGGCTCAGAGTTAAGAATACTGCCTGCTCTTACAGAAGACCCAAGTTCAGTTTCAGTTTCTAGCATGCACATTGGGTTGCTCATAACTGCCTGTAACTCCAGCTCCAGGGGATTTGACACTCTCTTCTGGCCTCTGCAGGCACCCCCACACAGGCATGTACATACACATAAATAAAAACAAACACAGAATTAAAAAATTTAAAATAGTGTAGAGTATGATTGAAGACACCCAATGTTGACCTCTGGCCTCCACAGCTACACACATGTGCACGTGCATGCACATTCCACACACAGACATATCCTGAGGCCTCTCTTCATCTGCCCCATTCTGCCCTTGATCATGTTTTCTTCTGTGGTTCTGGGCACTGTAGTGACATCTTATTCTCTCTTAATATATTTTTATTTTATGTGTCTGAGTGTTTAGCTTGAACATATGTAAGGGTACCATGTGCACGCAATGCCCACAGAGGCCTGAAGAGGATGTTGGATCTCCTGGAAATGGAGTTATGGGGTTGTTAGCTGCCATGTGTATGCCGGGAACTGAATCTGGGTCCTTTGTAAGAGCAGACAGTGCTTTGAACCTCTGAGCCATCTCTCCAGTCCTTTTTATTCTCTTTCAACAGAAGGAAGCCATATCGCCTCCAGACACCACCCAAGTGATTCCACTCCGAAGATTCACAGTGGATACTTTCTGTAAACTCTTCCGAATCTACTCCAATTTCCTCCGGGGAAAGCTGAAATTATACACAGGGGAGGCCTGCAGGAGAGGGGACAGGTGACCTGGGACTGGTCCACTTGGGTGCGTGCATCCACCAACTCACTCACTGTCACTGCCTGTGTCACGCCAATCTTCCATCACTCCCAATCCCCATCGAGGGGGCTGCTAGCTCCTCATCAGCCTGCTCTGTGGACACTCCAGTGATGTCTCCGGGGAAGCCAGAGGAATTTTCCAGCGCTCCATTCTGAAATCTACAGATGTCACAGGGCCTGAGGCCACCAGAGCAGAAGAGATTCACACAACCAGCTAAACAGCTTGGGTTGGTTTTTTGTTTGTTTTTAGAGACAGGGTTTCATGTAGCCCAGTCTGACCTCAAATTCACTATGTAGCTGAGGATGACTTTGAGCTCCTGATATTTCTACTTCCATTTTCTGCGTGGTGGGATTGCGGATGTGCTTTACATACCCAGTTTATGGGTATGCTGGGAATGGAACCCAGTGCTTTGTGTCTGCTAGGCGAGCACTCTACCAACTGAACTATGTCCTTGGCTCCTGGAGACCAGCTTATAACTCAGGGACAAAGACAGCTAAACTCACTTGGTGCCTTGCAGAACTGTGACCCTCCCCCAGGACAAGCTTGGAGCCAGTCTTTGTGGCACCTAGGAAGGGTAAAGGGACTAATGGACCAGAGAACTTAGGTGTTCAGGCATGAAGACTCCCGGTTTCATGGGGACTCCCCTGACAACATGAGCACCCCTGGACAAATGCTGAGGCTGGAGCCATGAAGATAAAATGACACCTGACTCCAGGCTTTCGTGGGGAGGGGAAGGGGTTCTAAGTTTTGTGTATTTTTAAAACACCACTGGCAAAAGCTAAAACCAGCACTTGACTCCTGGCTTATCTATCTCCCTGGGTGCCCCCTAACTTCTCTGGCTGTACCTCCCCCACCCCAACCTGGTAGCAAGGCGTCAGATCTGGGAAACCAGAGGTGGAGGGGGTTGGGCCCTACGTGCTGCCTTGCATGGCCTGTCTGACCTCTTGACCCCGCTGGGCTTGAGGCCACAATGCCTGCCCACGCTGGTCAATAAGCAGGCTCCATTCAAGGCTGTCCCCAGGTGGGCAACTGCCAACCTGTCAGGACAAGTTCTAAGTGAGCCGGTCTGCCACGGAAGAAACAGGAGCCAGGATGTAGGGGCCCCCTTTAGGGGTTGGTGGCAATTACCAACTCCGGCTAATAGATGGTTGGTTATGCCTCCTCATGGGTCACACTACACTCCTAGCATCAGTCTCCTACCTCAGCACAGAAACCCCTTGTGAATCCAGCCACTTGTCTTTCATGTCCTAAGGGCTGTCACTGTGTGTGTGTGTGTTGGGGGGCGGTGATGTCTCTTTGGAACTCTCAGAAGGGTCAGTAGACAGAGGTGTGGTAGGTATTGCCAGTGGGGGGCTGAAGGGTGATACCAGGTGCTTCCCTGAATTCCTTCCCTAAAGTAACACTTCATGTGGGAAAGCCTGCTCACGAGAGACCTACACAGACAGCCAAAGACAACAAGCACTGTAGCAGGATCTCAGTCCTTGCCTTTAACCCATATATGGCCGCCAGCCTTTTTCGTCCAAAATAAAATATATAAAATCCAGCCTGAAGCTCTGCTCCTAAGCAAAAGAGAAAATAATTTTGCAGTCTGCAATAGGAAAAATGACATGTAGATTGCAGGGGTAGGGGTGGTGGTGGAGAGAATTTATTAGGGTGTGTTGTGTGTGTATGTGTGTGTGTGTGTGTGTGTGTGTGTGTGTGTGTGTAATTAAAGTGGGAGTTGTCAACAAAGGGGAAGATTCAAAAGAAAATTTGCAGTGGCCAATCTAGATCCCAGACTACATTGCCCTCTTCAGGTGCTATTGGGAACTACAAACACTAGGCTACCTGCTGTTTCAGTGTAAGGCTGCATTGTGGTTTCCTTACCAGGCATCCCACCGTCCCACTTCTCTGAATCAACAAGGGTAAAATCTCCTCTATAGGCTGCTGGAGGTGGAATTAATAGACTGTGGTGTTTTGGTGGATGCTTTTAAAAATATTTTTAATGGAGCTGGAGAGATGGCTCAGCGGTTAAGAGCACTGGCTGCTCTTGCGGATCAGGGTTTGGTTCCCAGCACCCATATGGAGGCTAACAACTGTCCGTAGCTCCAGTTCCAGGAAATCTGATGCCCTGTTCTGACCTCTTCCATTATTGCATGACATAGGTGCACTTACATACACGCAGGCAATATGCTCATACATGTAAAAAATAAAAAATATTTTAAAAATTATTTTTAATTATGTGTCTGTGTGTATGTTCGCAGGAGTTCGGGTGCCTTCAGACATGTCGGATCTCCCTAGAACTGGAGCTACACACAGTTGTGGGCCACCTGACATGGGTACTGGGAATTGAACTTTAGTTCTCTGCAAAAACAGCAAGTGCTATTACCCACTGAACCATCTCTCCAGCTCCTTTTAAAAATCATGTATGTATGTATGTATGTATGTATGTATGTATGTATGCATGTATATATTTAATGTGTATGACTGTTTTGCTTGCATACATGCAAGTGCACCATGTGCACGCAATGCCTGTGGAGGCCAAAGGAGGGTGTTGGAGCACCTGGAACTGGAGTTACAGTTCTTAGCCACCATGTGGGTACTGGGAACTGAGATTAGATGGCAAAATGTTTAATTAAGAAATTTGCCTTTCTTAACATTTACCTATATGTGAAATTGTTCTTAAAGATTAAAGTTGGCAAAAATTGATAATTTTGAAAAACAAAGAGCAAAGCACTGACAAAGAAAAAGACTATTTTGGGTCCTCTGCAAGAGCAGTCAGTACTCTGCCTTCTGAGTGCTGGGATTAAAGACGTGCGCCACTACGCCCTGTTTATTACTATTATTTTAAAATATTTTATTATAGTCAGGCGTGGTGGCACACGTCTTTAATCCCAGCACTCAGAGGCAGAAACAGGCGGATCTCTGTGAGTTCAAGGCCAGCTTGGTCTGCATAGTGAGTTCCAGGACAGCTGGGGCTACAGGGAGACCCTGTCTCAAAAAGACCAAAAAATTTTATTATTTTCATTTTATATGTGAGTGTTTGCTGGCACGTATGTGAGTATACCCATGTCATGTAATGCCCTCTGAGGCCAGAAGAGGGTGTTGGATCTCCTGGAACTGGAGTTATGGTCCGTTGTTAGCTACCATGTGGGTTCTGGGAACTAAACTCAGGTCCTCTGGAAGAACAGCAAGTGTTCTGAACTGCTGCATGATCTCTTTGTATTAGTTTTGGTCTATTTGAGACAGGGTCTCCCTGTAGCCCCAGCTGTCCTGGAACTCACTATGTAGACCAGGCTGGCCTTGAACTCACAGGGATCCACCTGCCTCTGCCTCCTGAGTGCTGGGACTAAAGGCACACACCACCACACCTGGCATTATTATTATTTTTAATACAAGATTTCACTAAGTTCCCCAGGCTGACCTTGAGCTCACTTTGTAGCTCAGACAGAGTTGGAACTCACAATCCTCCTACCTCAGCTTCCCAAGTGCTGGGATTACTGGCCTGGATCACACCTGGCTTAGTTTTTTAAGGATTTATTTTATTTCAAATTATCTGTATATATGTGTCTCTGTGTGTATGCATATGTATACAGGTGCCCAGAAAAGTGAGACCAGAAAAGTGTCAGATCTCTTGTAACTGGAGTTACAGGTGGTTGTGAGCTGCCTGATATGGGTGCTGGGAACCAAACCTGGGTCCTCTGTAAGAGCAGCAAGCACACTTAACCACTGTGCTGTCTTTATTCCTGTTAGTCTTATCCTTAAGCCAGAGGAAAAGTGCTAATAAATACAGCTGGGACCTGACCATGAGATTCACATTTATCAACCCAGTGTCTCATCCAACCAAATACCTAATGAGAAGCAAGAGAGGAAAGGTTTATTTTAGTTTACAGTCCAAGGGGGACACTTTCCATCATGGTGAGAAGGCATGGCAGCAGGAGTGTGAGGCAGCTTCTCACATTGTATCCACAGTCAGGAAGCAGAGAGATGAATGCTGGTGCTCAGCTCACTTTCTCCTTTTTATTCAGTCCAGGACCTCAGCTCATGGGATGGTGTTGCTCATATTTAGGTGGATCTTGTCACCTTAGTAAATCTAAATTAGGTAATCTCTCACAGATATGTCCAGAGGGTGGCCTCTTTAGTGATTCTAGATCCTGTCATGTTGGCAATCAATACTAGCCATTACAACATCTTAGCCCGAGTTGTTGCCTAAGGCTTGGGTGTCCAATCATTTAGTAACTGGTTCTTTTTTCCCCCCTGGATTCAGGGTAGCTGACTCTATTCCTCAAACTCTTTTTGGATGCTTCACCACTTCAAGTTAAAAAAAAAATAAAGTGACAGGGCTGGAGAGATGGTTCAGCAGTTAAGAGCACTGACTGCTCTTACAGAGGACCTGGGTTTGGTTCCCAGCACCCATGTCAGGCAGCAGACAACCACCTATAACTCCAGCTCCAGGGGATCTGATGCCCTCTTTGGCCTCCTCAGGGATTGGGACTCACATGCACATACCTACACATAGATATTTATACATAAACACAAATAATATCTTTAAAAATATTTTATTTATTTTTATTTGGTGTGTATGAGTGTTTTGCCTGCATGCCTGCTAAGTGTATCATGTGTATGAAATTCCCATGGAGGCCAAAAGTGGACATTTTACCCTAAATACTAGGCGATAGGACATGACCTTGGAGCAGAGGAAAAAGTTAAAAGCACATTAACTTAGACACAGCCAAATTAGGTGCAGTGGAGAGACCTGTCATCACAGCTTCCTAAGAAGGCAGGAGGATCACAAGTTTAAGGCCAGCCTGGACTACATATTGAGGTTACAGCCAGCCTGGACCATTTACTATGATCTTGTTTCAAAATAATAATCGAAAGCCAGGTATGGTGACACACACCTCTAATCCCAGCACTCAGCAGGCAGAGGGAGGTGAATCTCTGTAAGACTGAGGCCAGCCTGGTTTACAAAGCAAGTTCCAGCCAGCTGGGGCTACAGGGAGACCCTGTGTCAAACAAAACAAAACACCAAACCAAAACAGCAACAACAACAACAACAACAACAAAACAAAACAAAAAACCCAAAATAATAATTAAAAACAATAATAAAAGGGCTGGGAATATAGCTCAGTGGTAGAGTACCTGCCTAGAATTCCAGTGAGGGGTGGGTGTGTAGCTTTGTGTTAGAGTAGTTGCCTAGCATGCCCCACCTTCTACGTTTAGTCCTCAGTATCACAAACAGATCCAGTCAGCTTGGTATGAGATTGAGTGCTAAAATGTTAGGTATCTAGATTTCTGGGAAGGGAGACACTTCTGTAATAAGAACAGAGTGAGGTCCAGAGTCCTTGATGAGAGATGGAGACACATAGGAAGCTGTTGCCAGGAGTCAGGGTCTCATCAAGGGTAGGCCAGGAGAGAGGACTTTCTCAGGATGATGATGATGATGATGATGATGATGATGATAACCAAGATGATGATAATGACAAGGACAATGGTGATGATGAAGACAACAATGATGACGATAGCAATGACTGATGATAATAATGTTGATGAAGACAATGATGGTGATTATGATGGTGATGATGGTGATGATGGTGATGGTGGTGATGACAATGAAGACAATGATGATGATAACAATGAAGGTGATGATGGTGACAACGATGATGGAAATGGTGATTATGGTGATGATAATGATGATCATGATGACAATGAGGACGATGATGGTGATGATGGTGACGATAATGAAGACAATGATGGTGATAACAATGAAGGTGATGGTGGTGGTGATGATAATGATGATGAC